CGGATGTCCTTCCTGACAAAACCACAGACCACCGAGCTACCACAGCCCTCTGTGTGGAGCAGAGAGCTGCTATCTAGGGCGTCCAGGGGAGCAGATGGTGGGGGTTAAGGACCTTGCTCAGAGGCCCAGAGTGGAGCAAATAAGGGTGGAGAGAGGTGTGTTCTTTTCCTGTGTCTAGTGATAACCCTCAACATATGTTAACATATATTATGACATATATTAGAGACAGGACAAAATTTGGAAGTTAAAGGCTCAAAGGAAAAGCACCCCCTAGTGGCTGGCTACAGAATCATTTATAAGTCCCGCCCCTTCACGTAAACAAACGGGATATTTACCTGACGAAAGATAAAAACAAGATTTCAAACCATTTTTTTTAAGTTACTGATTTTTATTGATTCATGTTCAGTAGTCCCTCGGTTATTGCAGGGGTTACGTTCTACCCCCCACCCCCACACGCTTAGACAGCAAGTGGACATTCTGTCCTAGAAGTTGATGTAACAGCAAAATAAATAAATAAATAAAGCAACAAATAAACGGACCAAATTGTGATAACTAATGCAATCTGGATTGTAGCTTCACCACAACTGAGGCCAGGACATTTCAGAAGTGATCCAAGAAGTGAGAACTGACAAATGAACAACATAATCATGGTCCACCAAGACTTACTGATGAATGTAGGAAAAGAAGACCAGCTGTATGTTGTTGAACTTATAGACAAGCTGCTGGAAGTAACTGGTAAATGGACTGTACTTATATAGCTCCTGTCTATTTAATCAAGATACTCAAAGCTCTTCACAATCGTCCCTCATTTATCACAGGGGTTACGTTACGGACACCCCCGCAAAAAGTGAAAAACTGCAAAGTAGGAACGCTATATTTATTTTAGTATTTCTATATTTTAAGGCTTTATAAACCCTTCCCACACTCTTACAATGTTCTAAACACGTCATTTTAACAACATACGCAGATGTACTGAACAGTACTACAAAATTTTATATGAGGGATTCACCAGCCTTGGTCCGGTTCTAGTCGGGTTCTGAATGGCTCTCTGCAGCCGTTGAGCACCAGACGCTTTTGGAGAGAGCCGGACCTTTGGAGAGCCAGCCCAAAACCACACAATGGTCCTGATCAAGTCCAAATAATCCAGACGGATCCGGATAAAAATGTCCGGGTGAGCTCCGGAGAAGACACCGGACCTCCAAGCAACGCCTCCCCACTCGAGAGGCCTCATGGTCCAGCAAGCAACACTCAGATTGACCGAAGAGGCTGGAACTAGTACTGGTCCAACTCCCGGTCGGTTCCATGTGGCTGTCTGCATCCACTGAGCACTCAAGTCACTATGAATAATGACAGAACTTTTTAGTCAGGTTCAGATCTGATCAAAACTTTCCCTCCATTTCTGTAGAAAGCAGCAGCCGGAAGCACTGTTGGCTTCTGGGTAATGTAATTGTTTTGACTGGAGTTACAGTATAGGCTTATTGAAAGAAAACTACAAAATGGCGGGGCTTGTCTGAAGTATTTTTTTTTTGTTAACTATTTATCCTGTACCCTCCCAATCACGCAATATTAAAGTTGACAATCGTTGAAAAACCACAAAAGAGCGAGTCCGCGAAAGTCGAACCGCTTCGACAAACGTAGCGAGGGACTACTGTAGTTCATGTCTTGCTACATGTTTGAATATGCATTTTTATAATGTACTTATTTGAAGCTTAAAGAGTGACATCATGTTACACTGTGATTGAAAACATAACAGCCTGTCAGCTTGGTGGGGAGCAGTACTGCTGCACGTTCCCAGTGCACAGACTCTGGTTTCAAAACCACTATGCAGGACTGGTATACCAAACATTTTAGCTTCATCTTGAGATAATAGCTGTCAGTAGAGTTGCTTCATCCATTTTTATTCATGTCAGTGATTATAATATTTGTCTGGTTTTGACCAAATTAATAATTTAATAGCTAGTGGAGCTCTGCTTTCTTAAAACAACTTCAGTCACAAAACATGTCATAGCTTTCATGCAGATGTTAATTTATAAACATTAACACTTTCTATCTTATTACATGATTTATCTAGTAGAAGTATCATGATATTCCTGCAAATAGTACCCAGGGCTGCAGTAAAAGTGGTATCTGTTACAAGTTGTGCTTGCAAATACTCACATAATTTTATGTAAATAACCATATAATGCAAAACTGTCAAGGATAAAAGGTTATAAAACAACATTCACTTGAATCACTGATTCACTATAAATTTGGAGCTATTTTAAATTGACAGCAATCCATTTTAGTCTGTCTCAAATTAGATTAGCCATAAACTGGTCAATCCAATTAGACTTAGGTCGTTTTCACACCTGATACGCTGGTAGACTCTGTTCGATTGGAGACCATTATTCACAACATTTATTTACGTTTTCAGCTGGTGTGGTTCACATTCACACTGCACTGAGTCAGTCGAGCCAGCCTGCCCCCCCCCCCCCCCTCACCTGTGGGGGCGCTGCACCAAGAACTACTGAAGGAAACGACACAAAAACCTCTGAAGAAGACGCTGAGCGCAACTTACTTCTGGAAATAAAAACAAAAACGGAGTGGCATCAAATTTGAGCAGTTTTAGGATTTCTGTTTTGTCATTTTTCAACAATGGACTCAGCATGAGTGGAAGATGAGGCAGAAGATCATGGAGAATGTTGTTTTCCACACAAGGTGGCTGACAGCTCCATATGAGGTAAGAGAAATGCGTGTTTGTTTGTCTTGCACTGTAGACAACCTTCCTGCATTTGGAGCGGTCTCCGGTCCACTTGCATTCACACTGCATTTGAACCACATTCGAGTTCACTTCAACCGAACCGAAACCTAGGTATTTAGGCAGACCAGACTTCTTTTTTATGGTCCGCATCAGAGTTCGATTGATCTCCTCGATTGAACACCTCCCCAAACGAACCAGACTTTCTAGGCAAATGGACTAGCGTTTGATTAAAGTGGACTAGAGTTTGATTAAAGTGGACTAAACAGGCCTGGTGTGAATGCACCCTAAATCACAAGTTGTTTTTTTTTAAAGTCACTTACACTGTAGATCTACAGCAGGTAAGACATTATTTGTTCATAATTTTTCTGCATAGTTCCACTTCTAGATTCACGTCATGGTTGTAATTCTTTATTGTTCTAGCTGCATATTTGGGTGTTATCCTGTCAGATGAGTCTGAGCTGATCAGAAAACTCCCAGTTCAAAAACTAAAAAGCTACATCTGAAAACGACAAATAGAAAACTTGTCCTGATGAAAGTATCTCTGAGACATGTTAAAGTCTACATCACTCAGGTTTCTATGTTGGCTTTCTTCAGCATGAAGTTTATTACAAATGCCAGAGTGTCATTTGAACACTGGTGGTTTACTGATAAGTGACATGATGGATTGTGTTTCGTCTAACATGAAACATTTCTCACTTGATCTTGAGATGGATTGTAACATTGCAGCTCTGTTGTTGTGTCTATGACCTGCAGCTCTACCAACACATGTTGCCCTCCTTTGTTTCTGCACAGTCGGCCCTGCTGACAGACTGACCACTTTTAATAACTGTGTCATTGAAAGGGATTTGAACAGTGTTGCATTTAAATCTCCTTTGGAATTCATTCAAGTGCAATAATTTTAGATTGCGTCATTAGTTCATGTGTTCTCTGAACTCAAATCACTGAACTGTGCTCTCTGCAGAACATTATTATCTAATATAACAGTAAAGCGTGACGAACGTTAGCTGTTTTAGATTAATCCAAAAAAGTTCAATCTGGTCCTCTGGACATTCAAAAAAACAAAAAATAAAACAAAGCAAAAAAATATAGAAACGTTTTGTCTCTCATCCAAGAGACTTCCTCAGTCTGAGGTGCTGTTTTCAGCT